GCAAGCCAAATTCCACTTGGCGCCCACCCAATGGTGGATCTGAGCCGCGATTTCGCAGCACCACTGCTGACTGCGGCGCCAGAAGTGGGCCCGAAAATGCAACCCAAAATCCACTTGGCGCCCATGCTATGGTGGATCTGGGCCACGATTTCGCAGCACCACTGCTGACCGCGCCGCCAGAAATGGTCCCGAAAATGCAAGCCAAACACACTTGGCGCCCACGCTATGGTGGAATGGTCCACGATTTCCCAGCGTGCGCCCTTGCTGACTGCGGCGCCAGGAGTGGTCTCGAAACTGCAACCCAAAGTCCACTTGGCGCCCATGTTATGGTGGATCTAACTGGGCCACGATTTCCAAGCCCCTCCAGAATGCGGCGCCGCAATTAAAACCGAAAAAGCAACGCAAAGCCCACTTGGCGCCCAGCCAATGGTGGATCTTGGCCATGATGGATTTAGTGCCACTGCGGACTGCGTCGCCAGAAGTGGTCACGATAACGCAACCCAAAATCCACTTGGCGCCCACCCTATGTTGGTGGATCTTGGCCAATAAAATGTAGCTGCCCTTTGGACTGTGGTGCCGGAAGTGGCCCCGAAAAAGCAAGACAGATTCCGCTTGGCGCCCACGAAACTCCACTTGGCGTTCATGGCTTATTGGACCGCCCTGGAGAAGACAGGCACGGAGGATATGAAAGTCCCAAATATGCAACCCAAATTCCGTTTATTTGGCGGCCCGGACATGCAGAATCTAGTAGGCCACTACTCGTCTGCACCACTGCCGAACGCGGAGCCGGTACAACCAAAACTTCACAGTGGATCTCGCCTCAACGGTCCAACACGACATGGGGCTGGAGGTCACGAAACCAAGCAGGTGTTCGTGTATTCTGCTTTCCGTTTCTTTCTTTCTTATATATACTAGGCTCAGGCAGTGACCTCGTTCATCATCTCGCATTTTCTCTTCTCTCTCTCTCTCTCGTCTCTCCGAAAAGCAATACATAGAGAAGAGTCAACGACAAGAGCACTACATCTTCGCAGGAGATGATTGATTCATTGATCAAGAACATTCCCTGCTGAAAATGTTTTTGTGAACGAAAACAGTAACAAAGAACTCATGCCTGTTTCCTCATGCCTGTTTCCTCATCCATAGCTTCTTTCACTTACGTGCCCTGGCAGTGGAATGAGCATATTGATTCATATCAATCCACAGCCACGATTAAACTCATCTAGAAAAATTGTCCTCTGGTGCATCTGTTTTTGGTTTTTTGGCGATGACTCGCTTCCAGCACTGACCACAGCGAAGCCACTGTGCTATACCTATACATTTCGACAGTGAGGCGTGTTCGTGTAGTCCTTGCAAGCTGTCATGTGCTCCTGGCATTGGGATTGGTAATTGTACATAACGAATCCATAAGATATAGAGAGGTGACAAGGTCAAGGACTGTTGAAATTTGTCGATTGAGTCTGCTCCGCGAGCTCGCTTGGTGCTGTTAGTTCAGGAATCTTGACGTAACCCTCTCGGCAAAGTTGTAAGAGATAGTCGAAGAAATTTAGATTTTCCCTGCAAAAATCTTCTACTTGGCAAGCAACTCACCGTCCGAAATCGAAGGTGCTCTGTAACTGCTTGCAGGTGCTTGCCTCTGTTCTACTTCTAGGCACTACTTGTACTTTGCTTTTTAAATTGATTCGAAAAATTCCCCGCTTTTCGCTTTCCTTTTTGATTTTGCTCGTAGTTCGATGATCATAAAGAAAATAAACAAATGCGCAATATTCTCGTATAGCCGTGTGAAACGTCGCAAAAGATGTAGGTGGAGGGGTCCCATACTTGTCTCTCCCTTCTACATCAATCTCAATCTTACATAAATTTTATTTTTTGAACGAGAACGCGAGAGATGAAGGTACTCGGTGAAACAACAACTTAATAAATAAATTTCTTTCAAACCAAACCGTGTCGCACCTTGCGGAAGTTGATGTTGCCATTGTTCAGATCTCGTCGACGCACAGGCGGCGGTCAGAAGGGCTGACGGCGAGCAAGCCGCGCATGTCCCGTGCTAGCTTCTGTACTTCCATGTCCTCTCCCTGCAGAAACCGATCCTGTTCCAGCACATCCTCGCACTCGTTTCCGCCGGGCAACGTCGACGCTGCCAGCATGTCTTTGATATGCGCAGCATACTTGTGCATCTCCGCCTGGAAGAACTCCGACTCCTTGGCGTCGTCGAAAAAGAAGAGCTCTGCTTGCCACCAAATTGCCGGCGAATGGTAGCTAAACTCGTGTGGCCGCGAGGCAAACACAAGTGGCAACGTCCGGGCGGGCGGCTCGTACGGCAACGCATATGCGACTGGGATGCCCGGTGCGGTGGCAGAGAGCCCCGGGAAATGAATGATCGCCCCTTCCGCTGCGCGATGCGTCTGGTGCATCAGGAAAACTCCTAACAAAGAGCTACCCAGGTTCCAGATGTCGGATTTTTTCAGGTCGACGACCGCCCCGTCGCTCGCAATCTCCTCCGGCAACCGCAGGAGGCCCTTCAACTGCACGGTACTTGCGCACGTGAGGACCGGCCGGGGATCTTCTCCTTTTCTCAGGGGCCGTGAAATATCCAGATGCAGAGAGTCCACCCCGATGGCGCCATGGACGACATTTCTCGCGTGGAGGGAGTTCAGGGCACGCTGCATTCCACGAGCAAAGACAAGTGCGTCCGCAGCATCCCATCCCCGAACCTCCTTGACGGAAGGCGGCCGCGACGCGCCGACCAGGAAACCCGCATGGCCAGAAACGAAGAATGTGGGCTGCAAGTGCAAGCAAGACTCGGTCGTCCTTATCCGTGCGATGTTATCACTAAACGATTGCAAGAGCCGGAGTTCGTTCGGATCCACCTCCTCGTTGGGAATGCGCGAGCACAGGTACGCAGCCAGCTCATCTCCCGAGGACTCGTCCAGACCATCTTTGTCTTTGCGTTTTCCGGCATTCTTCTTCGGAGATTTCGTGCCCTTCACCTCGGCTGCTTTATCGGGCTGGTTTTTCTTCGAGACGACCGCGGCAGGTCTCGTGGATTTGTCCTTAACTACAGAAGTTTTCACCACTTTGCGAAAGTGAACCACTTCTTGCCACGTTCCTCGCAGAGCCTGCAAAGCAGTTTGCGGAGCTGTAGTTGTCATCCCATGTCCCGCGGCACTTCCAGACGAGAATGACTTCGCAGATCCGGTGGCGTCAACGTCCAGAAGCATGTCCTCTGCCGCCTTCGAAGTCGTGTCCGCCTGCCCTGGCAGCGCATCACGAAGTTCAAACGTGATGCTCAAAACTTTGTCCGGCGTCTCCTCGACACCCGGACCCGCAGGCGCGCCGGTGTCCGCCGCTTCGTAGCAAACCGCTGCAACTGTTGCCGCGTCTTGTGCGATGGTGCCGTTGTTGTACCCCGCGAAGTGCAGACCAGCTGTTTATTATATTTGTTGATGGTAGCATCGCATGAATGAGTGCGTGACTTTCCATAAAAACATGAACAATCATCACAGATGCCGTTCTGGCTCACTAGAAAGTGGTCTCGGAACGGATTCTGGTTCAGCTATTATTCCTCGCAAAAACCTGAGCCTGACATGCAAATTGAAATTGTCATTTACCAAAATTCCTAATGAAAGCTTCCGTCGTCGAAGCGCAAAGCGACCCGGTGCAGAAGTAGAAGTGTCCTTTCCCCAAGTCTGTCTCAGCTTCGACTATCTTGTGCCGACCCTCCTCAAGGTTTAGTTTGGATCCGCAGCATGCACAGACTGGTTGGATAGGCGGATCATGGGGAAAAATTACCTTCCTCCAAATATACACAAAAGTCGAAGTCCTCGTGCATTTGCATCACATATATGTCTGTCTGTGATACTAACGATTTGTGTCGCCACGAAAACGGAAATGGAAATGTCAATGTTTTCCCCTTGATACGCTGCGGCCAGAGTTTCGTCTAACTGGAAGTTTCCGCGAAGGCTGATCTGGAGACCTTGAAACACGAAAGTAATCGGCTTTTCGTAGTGACGGCCAAGTTCATGCCCGTATTCTTTCTTGAGCTCCTCGATGTCCAGCTTGTCCAACTCAAGTCGCAGGGCCTCGGCTCCCTCGTGTGGAATAGGCGACTTGTGGTCCTTGCCCATGTACTTTCGGTTACGCAGGATCCAATCGCGCTTCGAGACGGCCAGTGTGTCGCAAAATCTCCTCTTACCGACGGTACCGACAGCAGTTGCGACGTAGATTGTTACTGCGTGGGTTGTACCAGCTTCCGCCGCCTCTTTACCGTGCAGCTTTCGCGTTTCCTTCCGTAGGTACATGATGGCTTGCGTTTCCATCTCCGCAGAGGCGCCGGGCAGTGCTACCGACTCGCTTGTCGTCACTGCAAACTTCTTCCTATGCATTGCAAACATGTCTGGGTCTACTGGCCAGTTGTAATGCTAAATAAAAGTGAAAGATAAGAAGCACTGCAATGTTACGCAGCCAAGCATGACAAATTTTCGGGCTGCTCATATTTATGTTGCGTATTCCGCATGACACAGACAAGACAAGACTTCGCGCTGCGCTTTTGCATTACAGGTCAGAAGACCTTTTTTCTTGCCCATGCGTCACAGAATCTTGAGCCATGATGTCCGACTTGCATGTTGACAAATCTAAATCTAGAATAATCATCGAGATCAAGACATATTTGCACTTGATACTTCTTCGCGCTCTGCAACACGCCTATTTCGCCAAATTTCCACGTATCAGAGCTCTGCCACAGTTCATCTTCATCTGCTGGACTATTGTCTTCTGGTTTTTTTGGGCGCTTCCCTATGGGGATGCACAACGCCCCCTCCCCCTCATCTGAGCCGCCGCAACCGCATGAGGTAGCAATACAAGCAACGGGAGAAATCAGTTCTCCCGTTCGCACGACACATTCCAATGTAAGCACGGATTTTTGTAGTGTCTCAGATTCCAACATTTGTCATGCAGCTCGTGCATCAACGCAAAAGGATGAGGAGAGTTGGTGTAGTGTTGGACTCACTATTTGGCTAATGAGGGAAGGGGGAGTAGTTGTACAATCCCATATTCCCGCCGCCCACATGACCAGAGTTTCCGCCGGCACGGCTTGACGCCCCGGCAACTTGTTTGTCGAATCCCGGCACACAAGATGAACCTGGCGAAGTTTATTTAACGTTCATGCAGCTTATCTTTTACTTCTATCATTATTTTCTCATTTATCATATCTTTGTTTAGTGCATGGCGCACATGAAACAGTGCCAATGCGCATAGAAAACATTGACAGAACCGAGCTCAATACTCGCGGCGCCAGTCCTGGCTTCCTTGTTGTCCTCGTCACCCAAATCCTCAGTCGCGCTTGCCAAAAAGCCGAATGGCCTCTCGCCCTCGCGGCTGCTCATCTGTTTTGTTAACAAGGTCTGGTGGTCGATCTTGGAAGTCGCGCTTTTGCTTTTCGATGAACTACTGGTAGCGGCCATATTTCGTGTCTGCGACTTTGAGCAGCTGCTGCTGCTGCTTCCACGGCTCTGCTCCTCTCCGTCACGCGGTGGGTCCATGTTTGCGAAGTGGAGACGTCTTGTGTAAAAAAGGCAGGTTTCGTTATTTTCACGAGCACGAACAACCTCTTGTGCCAAACGAAAATTGGTTCATACTGAACTGACCAAACACGAAGATAGAAGGCTACTTCACTGACTTACACTTTCTCCTCGTCCTTGAACTTTTGCAGAAAGAAAAAATAAAAAAAGATGTATTGATAGATAGTCAGTTTCTTGGGCCTTCTTTCTTATTTTTGGCCAGGTTTACATTTGCTTCACTCCATCTGCCACAGGAGAAACGCGCGAACTTTGCGAAAACGAGAAGTGGCATGTGCGCTCAAGCTTTTCATGTCCGACCCCGAAGATATATTATTCGGGTGCAAATCGAGATCTCTCACGAACGACCCCGAAGATGGATCATGATAGAGCGAAAAGTCGCGACCCCTTGTTGCGGCTTAATGAGTCTCCACAAAACCCTCCACACGAAAGAACGCAACCTTTTGTCACTTTGTGTAACGGATTACGAGACGAGCGGGCGAAGGAGCTTCTTCGTGTCTGCACGGCGGCTCGCAAAACTGAACCTTCGCACTAGATGCGTGGAGATTCCATAAAAACGACTAAGCTACTAATGTGTGTGAACACGCTCCCAAAGGAACACAACAAAAGCATAACCTCCATTTGGAATGATACAGACACATTCACATTCAAACGGAGAGGATGTCCCTATAACTAAAACTATTATATTCGTGCAGAAGATAATATACAGTTGTAATGGCAGCTCCGTCCCTGATCAACACAAGACTCCAGCACTGAGAAGTTTTACTAGCACTGACTAGTCTTGTACACTGTAAATTTCTGCCCGATCACAAAAACAAATTTGAGAGTTAATGTACAGGTCTCTACCGACTTGGAAATGTGAAACACTCCTGCAAGACTTCATGTCTATTGTTCAATTCTAATTTTGTAGCTTGGACTGCCGAAAAAACCTGAATGAGATAATCTGCAGCGAGAGTGCTACAACGAACTAGCGTCCGCTCCGCGTTTGCCGACTGCTGGTGGGCCGTGAAGCACAAAAATACTTTTGTCTACATGATATAATTCATTTTTTATGTTGAGGCAGACGCAGAACGCAACAAAAAATACAAATATCTGATTGTAGCGTGCCACTGTTCACAGAGGTGTCATGCAAAAATAGAAGGAAGAGATCCGCAGATACTCTAGACTGACACATGAGACGCATGGCGATTCAAGATGAGACGCATGGCTCTCTTGATGAACATTGCTTCTTGCTACTTTGAGATTGGGGCTCAGATTTGGTACAATAGTAAGCTTGCGATGACGATGAGGAGACTTCTTTTCTGATGGTGTGTAAAAACCCTTGAAAACTCATTTTGCTGTTAACATTCCCAATAATCTCATAACCCTGTAACAATATAACTCCGTAGTGAGTTAATTTCATCTTACAAAATCGGGAGCTGGCTCATGATTGCAAAGTAACTCTAACTACTCCCACCTTTACGACTGAGATGCGACAAGGTTCACGTTCACATCACCGAGTAGTAAGAAGATGAAACACAATTCATTTTCTGTTCTTGTAAAACAACCAACAAGCCCCTAAGCGACACCGACAGATCACAAGCTGCATCCATCATTCGATGCTAGTTAATTCCTGACACGAACAACCCTTAGTTAAGGTGGGGATTCTGAAAGTAACCGCCGGAGGCTACCTTCGTGTCGCGCGCCGCGGGGAGATTTAGGCGACTCTCTGCCATGAACCCCGTTTGGTGCGATGTCGACTGCTGCGGCTGAATCCCCATGGAGAACTGCTGCTGCTGCTGCTGCTGCGTCACCACGGCCCACGGATTCCGCAACCTCTGGCCGTTCTGCACCACCGGCAGGTTCAAGTTGAAGTAATCCCGTGGGTGCGCCTCCAGGAATGTGGTGTGGTGCGTGGAAAGGTAGTTCTCGATAGACTGGCGGTTCGACAACTGGATTTCTCCGCTGAGGCAGATTTCCAGTGCCTCAAGCACGTATGCTGCGGACCGCAGAAACGGACTGTCTGGGTTTATGTGTTCGGTGCGGTCGTTGTCGGCCTTGTACTGAAACTGGCAATACCGATCGAAGTAGCGCAATATCTGCGCAGACCGCGACCGGGCCTGCAAGTCAATATGTTTTGTGTCAAGAACGGGGAAAGAACAACGAATAAAAAGCTTACGCTTCCGGTTCATATTCATATTCTTATCATATCTTCAGTTCTTGTTATTTCATATTTCCTTCTAACCTTGGTAATGAAGAAAAGAAGCGTAGTCTGTACCACTCCAATCAGCGCACCGCTTTTGATTTGTTTGAAAGCGTCCAAACTGTCTCCCTTCGTGATCTCGGCGATGAACTCCATCACGTTCTCGATCGTGTGGGAATCGTGGATCATGTCCCGCAAACCCAGTGAAGTGGACTCGAACTTTATGTAGTCGCGCAGCTGAGCGATGGTGGCCTGCAACAGCTCGTTCTTGTCGCTCCGATCCACATCTTGTTGTTTTATCCACCAGGTAACTAAGCGTCATCGCCACCAAATGTTTGACAAAGATTTAAAGCAAAGAACAGAGCAAGAGACTCAGATGCACTGACAACTTACTTAAACTTCTTTGTTTGTCCCATCTATGAGAAGACCTCTCTGCTCCTATGAAACATGTGCTTGCACACTTTGCATCTGCGTCCTGCCATCGAGCGACCATGAAACTTGTATTGGTTTCCTTGGGACGATGATGCGGAGTTTTTTTCTGTCGATACTGACCCCGTGCAACCTGGTAATCAGCTCGTTCTGGTTTTGCGTCAGCTTATTGCACGTTTCCGCGTTGGCCCGGCCAATGTTCTCCGTCCTTATCACCCAGAGCCACTGCATTACTTCCCGGTCGAGGGGATCCGGACGCGATGCAATTTCGCTCATCACCTGGACCGATTCATGTACTTGGGCAGTTTCTGACTGGTATTGGTAGATCTCTGTAGCTGCAGGATTGCATCTGCATGTTGAGAAGCTACTTCCAAAAACCTCATTTTAAAGCAAAAATGATGAACCTAAATCTCCTAGATCGATATACCAGTTGCACAGCCTGCTGCGGTCTTGCCGGAGAAATCATGTAGTATCTTCTGAGAAGTTGCTCCATTTCTGCATCGAAGGCCGCACTTCGTTCATTGTATCGCGCACCCGCACTAGGGGCGAGGATGGGCGGCTGCACGATCTGGTTGTTTTCCTGGGGTCCACCGGCAGGAGCACCAGGACCTCTCAAAAAGAACCGTCTCATGGGGACAACTCACTACGGGTGTCAGCTACTTAAATTGAAAAAGGAAAGTCGTAATATTTGGTTGGTTGGCTGAGTCTGTTGTTGAGGTTCGCTGTCTTTATTCCTTCGCTTCTTATTTCAATACCAGGCTAATGTTGTACTTTCGCTCCCATTCACAACCAATACCAATCCGGAATCGAAACCAAGTTCGACTTCAAAAAAAATCTTCTTGATCCCTAAATTTCTAATCGACTACGACTTTTCATTTTTTTCAGTTACGAGCCACTGAAAAACAAAAAGAAAATCATGAACATATGTGAAGCGTGGCTCCACTTGCGCAAGAAAATATACACTATTACTGTCTGATATCGATGCATGGCTGCATACGATCCTCTCGTTCGCTCACCCACAAGGTCTTCCAAGTGTTTATGTACGTGTTTGTTTCAACATGTACGCGGTACACAAGCTTTCCCGATCGGAAGTGAAATACGATGTGATCGACATTGACGTGGACAGAAGAAATGATGACGACACCCAGATGGAATTAGACGTCGTCTACCATAACCCCTTTAACCTTTAAATATGTGACATATTGTATAGTTAAGCAACCACGACCCAGGACTGCCATATGGAGAACATACGATTTTGCTAGTGCCTGTGGTGGATGTCCGCTTTGATAAAAAAAATCGAATCGCGAATATCAATCTTGAGAACGCAGAGCAAGTGCGAGTGGTGAGAGAACGACGCTCCGTACCGTCACTACCACTGGAGAAACTTGCGTCTATCATCTTTCTCGCTCGTTGTGAAGAAATACAAAGTACAGAAAGCCCAACATGGTGAAAGCGAGGTGGTACAATTTCACACGGCATCCTGCGGAATTTATTGCAGATTTTGCTTCAATAAATATCATCAATCATGGACATACATAAAAGGTCAGCTGCTATTGAAGAAAGACGCCGTGAAGAGGACATGCTTTTCGCGCCCGTTCATCATTGCGAGACTAGGACGTGGAGGAGTGTTTTCGAGGGTGGTGAGTAGCGACAAGGCCCGCCAGGCCAAAGAGCTCGGCGGAGCGGTTGCAAAAGCCGAGAGCATATTTTTGACACCCATCTAGATTTGAACTAGGACGTTAGGCCCGCGGCGCCAGCCGCAGCACGCGGGGGGAAGTAAATGCACAAATGACAAACATCTGCGCATAAAATGGGAAGGAATCATGCAAAGATCAGCACGAGAGTGCAGCAGCGCCAAAGCGCGCCGGCAGAACGAAGCGCTCTCCCTGTTCCCTCCTTCTCGCAATCGTTGATACGACAGCAACACAGATCCCTTCGTATCACAAGACGCATCTGGTCCATTTCGGTTCGCGAAATCAAAACAGCATAGTACTGTTTCACGATTTAGTCTTCTTGAAATAGTGTTTTCGTTGAAGCAAAAAACTCCTAGCGAAACAAAAGCATTCATTTTTTGCACCTGAGCCGATGCCTCAATTTATTATGCATCTACAGGTCGCTTTTTGTTTTCCATTTCCGTGCAGAAGATGAAATCTCAATTTTTCTGTGGTACAAGAGGCAACCAAAAGTTTCCTTTGAGTTTGGCTATCTTCCGCAAAACTTGTAACTACCAGCGAATCAATCGTACAACATGATCGGACTACATTTCCTCCTGGCCATCAACATGAAGATCTTGTTCACCGAGGTGGAGGACCTAGGTGTACTACTGAAGCCGTGCGTCGGAAACGTGGAACAGGGCGACTTCTAGATTCATGAAGGCTGCGTCGTTTTTCTCGAATATGCCCAAGACCTGGTCGTCGGAGGGCGTCAGAAACGCGAGCACTTCGTTGAGACCGTGCATTGGGTATGCCATGCAAATATGTTTGGGTCTCCTCGAAACTTGTCATGCTAGCTGCGTCGCGTATCCTAAGAAGGCCACAAGTCGTGATAAGTTGTGATGGCTCAGCATGGGAAGTTTCTGAGCTTCTAGAGTAGCTCCAGTTCGGGTTGCCTATTCTGCATGACAAACACAAACTGCACTTCTGCATGACAGAAAAAAAGGGGGCTTTCCTTTTGCGTAACTGGCATCACAGACATGTGACGAGTCTTGCCAGCCGAGCATGACAAACCTTGCATTCTTCCAGACCCAGACATATTTGCATGGGATACTGGGTTTTTCCCGACAATCTCTTCGATTGACTGGACTGTTGGCAGATGCGGGTTGCGGCCGTTCGGCCCCACAGTCTTCATGACATCGACCCAGCTAACCAGCAAGATCTCGTCGAGTATGCCCCGCACTAGATCTGGCCGCGGGAATTTTTCGCCGACCCAGTACCGCACTTCGCGTCGCGTTTCTGAGCGCGCCACGTACACGAATCGTGTGTCGAGAGTATTCATGTCGTCCCCGACCAGTGGAAAGAGAACGCACTGTCCATTGTTAACCCGGAGTTCCAGAACTTGCGCCCCGCGCTGGTCAGCAGGCATAAGCGGTCGACTCATCGTGAAGTTTAAATCGCCCTGATTGTATTTTTGTTCGCAATTTTGATTCCCGTTAGGTCATTCTTCTTCTCCGGAGCGTGATACTCAGCATATCACGCACACTTTGAACGATAATAAGTCAAGTAGAAAGTAAAACGTTTCTGGTATACGGGAAGCGCGACGTGGTAAAATATTTCTCGACGCCACTCTGTAGCCGCCTTACGCGCCAAAGCTGATTGTACACAGGAGGGCAGGCCATGACCAGTCCCGAAAGCCGGGGTGGTGCCAAAGCGGCACGGGTGCACCGGTGCCATCGTGTCATTTCGGTGCAAGTACAGCAAGATGCAAGCGGCCATGGCAGCGGCTCCGAAACCTTCTATCCTTATGACGGAGATGGTCTCCAATCCGACCCTTTTGATTAGGAAGTACAATGTCTGGGAGACAAGGGCGTAGATGCTGTCTTCGCATGGAATGTCGGTCCACCGCAAGACCTCGCTTCCGTCGGCTGAGGGGTAGTGGTCACCTAAGTTTCATACTAGCATCGTTTCAACGACAGACTCAGATTACCTGCAGATGCTTTATCTGCAACGAGGAGGAGCTCTAGCATGAGCGCAACATTCTTACTAGTCACAAGCACTGCAGTACGTACCTCTCCTTCTTGTCGCAGGCACGACGTGAACCGATCTTACCGCAGCGATTTCCAAATGGCGCACGGGATGCAGAGCACCGGAGTCTATGACTTGTATTGGCATACGCTGCGCGGTTCCCCACGGAGTAACAGTGGGCGGATGGCGACTCACGCATGTAGCTGGTGCGGGGAGGGACTCCATCTGATTTTGTACTTGATCATCCGCAACTGCAACAGCAAAACTCGTGTGATCGCTGGGAGATGAATCTGGGAAATTCAATATTGGCACCCTTTCCAAATCGCGGCCCTCGACAAATGCCATGACCGCACCGGGAACCGACAACTGCGACCTTGATGGCCCGTGGACGCCGCTAAAGTATCCACGACTAGCTCGGAAGGAATTCACGACGCCGCTGAAGTATCCACGGGACACCGCTAAAGCCTCCCCGCTGTGGCCTAGCTCGGAAGGAATCTCTTCATCCGGCTGATGAGGTTCCCTCCTCATCTTATCGTTTCTATTTCCAAATCCAAATCGCTGGAGAACCTAATTCTTCTTGCAGCAAGCCAGGATGCGGACTACCTATCGAGGAAAACATCACCGAGATCTGGTAGTACTAGCACTAGCAGTACAAATGTATGAACCGCATAAAAGTCAAGATTTTGAGAATTTTGGGACCTAAAATGCAAATGTGGCACGCATGCTTCAACCAGGTCATCTAGTTTGATGTATGGACATAAAAACCTCAAACCGATCCTGTTGTCATTTTTGCAGGAGCTATTTTGAGCAATTTTGAATTCAATTCTATTTTACTCGATATTATGAACCGCATAAAAAAAAGTTCATCTTATCTATGGCACCAGTGATGAACTACAGTGGACACGTTTTGACATTGATGAATGAGAATACGAGGCACGACGCTCACTCCGATTGCGACTCTCTTTGAGCCAACAGCTCACAGCATCGCTCTACAGGTTGTAGCGTGTTTCACATGTTCCAGGGTGTATCTAAGTGTGAATCTCGGCACTGAAACCTACTGGCCGATTGGCAAAAAAAACAGGTAGACAAATGTAAAAAAACATTCCCCAAAAAACGACTTTCTCATGCGACGCTACGATAGTAGTACGATGTACACGATACAGAAAAAAGCGAAACCGAGTAGCAACGACCGATCAGAAAAAGCAAGATCTTGACCGATGAAGATAGGTGTGAACATCCTGTGAACAACAATCGCCACAGAGCTGACTCATGTCTCACTCGGAACGACCGAGGGCGAGCCACATTGATACCATCAAATGCGAAAAATGTTCTTCTACAATCAGAAGCTTCGTCCTGTAGAAGAGGCAGAACCAGAAGACGAGTCTCCCTTTCCTCTTTGTAAAGTTCATATGTTGCCGTAGAAATCCAAATCACGCACAGGCGGTGTTGATTCGATCGTCTCCAGTTGCAGATTTGGCATCCTGCGAAGGTTTTTCGTTATTGGTTTTGGAGCAGGAAAAGAAGTTCTGAATTTAGAGCATTTCGTTGTAGTTGGAGCCGGGGCGTGGCATAATTGGTCGTTTAGTAGGGCTTGCAGTTCCGGAGTTCCAGGGATGGCTAGCGCGCAGCGCAGGAGGTATTTTTTCACTACCTCGGCATCTGCCCGTCGTTTTCTTTTTCTAATTGCTTTTATTTCCATATTACTGCAAGTAGCAAAATCAATACAGCAAAGCTTGAGGCTCTGCTGTAGACTTGAAAATAATGAACAATAAATGATCCCGGTCCTCACTGCTACTCTTGGGTTTCTGAAGCGATTTGCTTAAGCACGAAGAAAATTCCAAATTACCATTGTATAGATTACCTTACTTGAGAAACGCAAATAGTCGTGCCTTGGTAAGTAACGACAACACGCGATGTGCATCTGGTGTATGAGTATGCATTTAGCTTTCCACAAAAATTGATAGCGACGGCGCATCAACACACACGACATCGCAAAAAAATAAATATCGTACAGGAGTTGCACCAGGGCCACTACACATACATTATACAATCGTAGAAACATTTACATTGCCATGTAAAATCAAAATAGAAGCACACAGCAAAAAAAATGTCGAGCTCCATTTTTACAGAGCGCCAAATAGCATCCGGGATAGGAACTTACGCACGTTTTTTGCGCTTCCCTGTGCGATGACTGCCAGCTTTTCGGCCTCGGAGCCTCCACTTACTATTTCCGACGGTTTTCTTGAGGATGCACTGCTGTTGAGGATGAGGAAATTTGCCGACGGGGCCGCTCTTTCGTCTACCGGTGTTCCGCCATCATCGCTTGGTGTATCCAAGTGTTGATCCGCCAGCAGACCCAACCTCCGCAACTGCGTCTCGATGGAGGAGTTCAAATCGAGCTCCGTGACGGAGACGTCCTCCGGCGCGAGCGCTAGCGCGGAGACAAGGTAGGAAGCTTCAAACAGCGCAGTGGCCAGGCCGGGCGGCAACAACGGTGCGAACAGCGCAACCGCGCGCCTCCCGGGCGAAACAAAGGCGTGCACGCCCGACTTGTCCAGCACCTTTGCTGCAGTTCCGAAACGCGGGCGCCAAACCCACTTGTCATCCATGCACCGGAGCTGGAGTTGTCTGTACGGGCCGGCTCCGCATAACTGAATAATTTGAATTTCGCGTAGTTGTTCGTCTTTATTATGAAGAAAAAAAATCATTTACAGTGCGCAATGAGGTCATCAAGATCAATAGGCAGATGCAAGACCGGCAACACTATCCAATTGTAGAAAAGCGAAAGCACGATATCACAACGATGAACCTACTTTAAACACGAAGATTTTCATCTGTCCGAAAAGCCCCGGGGGCAGGCAAGTTACTGACTTGCGATAATGTGCAGTCTTTCAACCATACTTCCGAGAGTCGTGCGAACGACCATGTACCTGTAGCTCCCATTCTCGCGCAGCTACTCGAGGTTCTGGATAAACCGGTAGCGGTTTGATGATCCGTAACACGATAGCTAAACTCCGCCCCCGCTCTGGCGGTGCAATACCTTTTTGGAGCTCGGGTATCCTGGTCGCAACGACTGCCATGGGTTGCTTGCTCCAGTGGCAAAGTAGCATCGCTACCACCAACTGCGACAACTTCTGGTCCCCTTTCACGTGCAGTTCCGTAAAAGTGTTCGAGTCCAACTGTTTGCCGATCGAAGTCACAAAGAACTGCACAGTGGGCATCAATGCGAGAACGGTGCAATCCAGGTTTTCTTGAGCGACCGTCCACGTCAGTGTCCGCTCCCAGGCCGCAGCTGCGATTCCGTTTTTGAATGCTATGTGAAAGAAAATGAAGCGACAATAAGTGGCGGTGCTCGTATTGTTACACCGAAGAGTTGTAGTCAAAAGCAATAGCGAGAAGACAATGACAAACTTGTAGTTCCAAACACGTCATCAAACAACATTGTTTCTGAACCACGGATCAGTTAAGATCACTTTCGGTCGTCCTCGTCAGCTCCAGCGTATGGTATACGTTTAAGCACTTGTGCCCTGCTGCGGCACGAGCACGATCAAGGCAACAAAAACAAATATCAATCTACATCAGCATGGACATAATGGTGCAACATCGTACCAGATTCCTCCGCGGCATCTGTTCGGTGCTCCACGAGCTGCACGGAAAGGTCTTTCGAGGCAACTCCATAGGACCGCGCATAGTGGAGGTGAATTTCGGAGGCCAGGGGCTGCGCGGGCACGGACGAGGACACTGAGGACTTTCGGAACAAAAGCTGCTGTTCTTCCCTGCGGATGACGTAGGTTCCACGAGGGGGCCTCATCCCGTATAGTTTTTTTGCGGTCGGAAGGATTTCTTGCAGCGGAAACGCACCCCGCGGAAATAGCCGAACAACACTTGGCTCAGCAGATGGACGACGAGGAGCGGTAGTAGGTGGACCCTCCGAAGCTGTCGTGCTCTGATTCGACGTTTTGCTCCGGGATTGTCGGTTGTGGTGCGTCGTCTCCGCCCTGCCGGGCTGTGCATCTTGCTGGAGGTGTCGGCTCTGACGATCTCGCGCCCGCAGCTGACGACGTGCATCGACGGTCACCACTCGCGCTTCTCGTTCTCTCCGCAACCTCGTCCGGGCCGGGTCGTCCTCATCATTCCCGGACGCTACTCCTGCATACGCGGTCGTTCCCCGTTGGGGAGTGGTGGATGAACAGGAAGAGGACCTCGCCGCTATCACATTGGTGTTTTGCACCGGGTGCGAATGGCGATTGGTCGTTGCGGTAAAATTTGATGTGCTCGTCTCCCGCTGCGATGAGGACAAAGATACCCGTTGCGACAAGTCGTGCCCGCGTGCCTCAGGTGGAGGTTCTTGCACACTGGAGAAAGACGACGAAAAAGAATTTCTTGACGCTGCTATCGGACTACGCGGGCGGTCTAGAAGCACAACCTCCTCAGGAGCGGTCTGACCAACACCCGATGATCCCGTTGGCAAGTCGGCAGTATCGGGAAACTCCAGTATGGGCTCCCTGTAGATGTCCTGGGCCTCGACGAAAGAAATAACGTTACGAACCAGAGACCTCCGCCAATCCTCGAACCATAATGGCTCTGCCCGTTTCGGGAAGTACTGCAGGCGGCACGAAGCCGCCTGCAGTACGGAAGCCGGTACCACCACAGTTTCCCCTTCGTGACGCTCCGCTGCAATCTCGGGCTCGCCGGGCGGGACTGTGCTATGCTGGTCAGCCGTGACGTTACCGCTCATCTCAATGTCTAGCTCTAGATGCAGATGAAATTGAGGCTTTTTTCATCTGAATGATAATTTACACTTACAGACTTGCTTTTGAAAAAATTCATTTTTACCAAAATCCTGTTTTCCCTTTCTCATAAAAAACCGGCTCATCGAAAACAGATGAAATGCCTTTGCCTACGAAGAAATATAAAAATGAGCAAGAATCTTATTTCAATGGCACGGAATCACCCGACCACAAAATGATCACCAACGTCATCAACTTGCGATGTACGCATCACACGAGCGCGACGAGATCGGCATCGGTGGACGATGGGTCTACACATTAAATCCTGCTGTCGTGATCGTCCACCGTGAGTGTGACATTGATGATCGAGATATCTTTCTAAGACACACCATCCGCGGAAGGCATAACAAGACAATAGAATACGTACCCGAAGAAAGGTCAACCGTGTTTCACGATAAGTACGATCGTCCCCACGAAGATCTCACTCTTCCGTCCAGGACTGCACGTTTGCATCTCTTTGTATCGTATGCTTCTTTGTATCTCTGTGTATTTCGAATTCGATCTCCCCGACCAAAGCACATTTTGATTTTGTATATACAATTTTGCATTTTTACGTTCACACGAAATCGATCGCCCTTCCCAAACTTTGCTTCGGAACACGTTTTTGGAACACGTTTTTGAAAAACCTGGTCCGAACGATCCGGAAGAAAGTTTCATGCATAGCAAAGAAAATAAGCGGAAGTCGGCGTAAACCAAAAGTTACACGTTGCAACCACGACCCAACGTCTGCTCATTCTCAAACTCAATTCTCCAGAATTATACAAGTAAGTATAACTCCTATTGCTGAGCTGCGCAAGTTAAAATTTTGTGACGGGGAGGAAAATCGTCCACGCCGAAGCTTTTTTGGCATTTTTCAAACCTTCCAAAGCTGTCGCGATTTGGGAAGTCGCCCAACGCCCAACGCCCAACGGCCATATTTGCTCGAAATATTTCGCAGCTCGAAATATGTTGGAGCTCGAAATATTTTGGAGCTCGAAATATTTTGAAGCTCGAAATATTTTGGTGCTCGAAATATTTTGGAGCTCGAAATATTTTGCAATATTTCCCAGCCCGAAATATTTCACAGCTCGAAATTAATATTTCCCAGCTCGAAACATTTCCCAACTCGAAACATTTCCCAACTCGAAATATTTCCCAGCTCGAAATATTTCCCAGCTCGAAACACTTCCAAACTCGAAATATTTCCCAGCTCGAAATATTTCCCAGCTCGAAATACTTCCCAGCTCGAAATATTTCCCAGCTCCAAAGATTTCCCAGCTCCAAATATTTCCCAGCTCCAAATATTTTGCAACTCCAAAATATTTTCCAAAATATTTTGCAACGCAAAATATTTCGCGGGCCCCGTCGAAAATATTTCGCAACAAACTCCTAAACAAACTCTTCTCCCCGTTTCACTTCCTTACTAAAATCCCTAAGGAAAAAAAACTCAGTTGGTCGCGCGTCCGAGGAGCGAGAGCAACGCGATCAGGCAGCCGAAGACAGAAGGCGGCGATCGCATTCCTGCGAACTCTACAGGGATTGCAGCGCATCCTCCTGAGAAATCTTTCCCCTGGGTAGCCAGAATTGCTGTGCTAAACACAACAATTCGGGGAAAACAAGCAAAATGCTCCATCCTTTTACCCGTTCCTTCCCACTACCCCAATACCCCCTCATTATCCTGATACCCTCCCAGTGCCCTACTGGGAAATCTTTTCCCTGGGTAGCCAGAATTGCTGCGCTAAGCAAAGCAACTCGGGCAAGAAAGTGAATCTTTCCAATCCCTGCCCAATGTCCTCCAAGTATCCTGAAGATACCCTCCCAACATCCTACAGGAAGCCTTTCCCCTGGGTGGCCAGCTTTGCTGTGTTAAACACAGCAACTCGGGCAAAAAATCCAATATCCTCCCACTATCCTGATACCCTACCAATATCCTATTGGGAACCCTTTCCCCAGGTAGTCAGAATTGCTATGCTAAACACAGCAACTCGGACAAAAAATCCAATATCCTCCCACGATCCTGATACCCTCCCAATATCCTCCCGAAAACCCTTTTCCCGGGTAGCCAGAATTACTGTGCTAAACACAGCAACTCTTGCAAAAAAACCCGAAAAGCCCCAAAATCCCCCCTGGAAATACCCTCGGGCCATCTCCGCCCGGGATTCCGCCTGGATATGCCTTGAGGCGTCTTGCTTCGCCTGAAATTGCAGCAGCGCCCGCGGTGCAAGTGCCTTCTCAAAGTGTTTCTAGCTGGATTTCCAGATAGAAATGGAGCAGGCCTCTTCAGCTGGAAATCCAGCTGGAAACACTTTGAACAGGCCAGGTGGGAAATGCATTGAAAAGCAAAAGGCGTCTGCAGCTGCATTTCCAGGTGGAAACGCGCCGCAGATGCCTCTTCCAAATGTTTCTCCAGCTGGAAATGCATTGAGAAGGCGTCTGCCGCCGTCTGGGGAACACCGCCGGCGGCCAAGCACCAGGCGAGCAGTTGCCCACCACCCTCCCCCGGCGCCCTCCCTCTGTTCGCGAAGGGAAAATCGCGCCCCAGCGCCAGGCGTGCAGGCGAGCAGCTGCCCACCACCCTTCCCCGGCGCCCTCCCTCTATTCACGAAGAGACCGGCAGAGGGCGCCACCGTCCGCCGTCTCTGTCTCGGAGGAAGGGTGCGCGCGAGGGAAGCAGGCGGGGGCGAAACAGATTGCATGCGAGCGAACGCGGGGGGCGCCGTTGTTGTCCGGGGGTGCTTGGGGAGGGTGGTGGGCCCCTGCGCCTAGAGGGCAATGAATGAATGCCCCGCCCCGGCTCCCTTCCTCCATCCACGCGCGCGGCAGGGGCCCCAGCGCGCGAGCGCCCGTTCTGCAAGGCTGCGCGCAGAAGAAGGGCGCGGGGGGCACCAAGGCGCACAGGGGCGGGGCACGCAGGCAGGCGGCACGAACGGGCCACACCGCAAGCGCGCGGGTGGGGCGTCACGCGCCAGCGCCTCGCATGGCGCGGACTGTTCCCCTGCTTCCTTCCCCCGTCCACTGGCGCCCGCCCGCTGCCGCGCTTTGCGTTGTTGCTTGGGCCTAAGGCTTGCCGCCACGCAAACGCGCACCCAGTACGAGCGGGGTCCTCGCGCTCGCACAACAAAAGGGAACCATGGGCGCCATGGCGCTCCTCCTTCGTTCTTTCAGCAAGAAGCGGCGCAGATGCCTGGCCCCGCCCTGCATCAAAAATTTTCTCCCTTACCCACCCTCTGGCGTTTTTCTTTCCACCCCGTCCACTCGTTCACCCTCCCACTGCGCGACATAAGTTGCGGCCTTGTAGTAGGTACTTAGCGGCCTTAGGTTGTTGAGGGAGCCTATGGCATTTTTTCAGCACAAGGTTTGTTGTTCGTAGGCCACACAGCACAGTGGCGGCTCCGAACTCGTACTATTTTTGCAATTCAGATTTGATGTCTGCGTGCGGCAACACAGACTCACACCAAAGAATAGCCACGGACCGGCGGACGCACTCTTTTCATGGTATTGGTATAGACAGTTGATTTCGTTTTCGCTATCGACATTTGCGTAAACAGTATTGATTCGTAGCAGGACACCAGGAGGAACAAGAACAACTCGTCATCAAACAGGATTGTACACATTCTATAGTACATCAACATTGGAGACGACGCCTGAGGACATCGTACTTATCATCATCTTCACCGACAGCCCCGGTGCATGTCGAGACAGCGGCCACACTTCTGAAGTCGTCCAACCATGATCTTCATAATTTGCAGCACTTCTAAATGTCGACAGGACGCTGTGCTCGCCTCTCGTGCCTAGTACCTTCGGCGTAGACACTGCTGCTGGAAAGAAGCATCTCCGTCTTCAGCATGACAGCATTTTTCAAACAGTGGCTTTCAACCAGCTGCACTTGCGCCCGCCGGCTCTATTTTCGTGACGCCAGGTACACTCTGAAAAGCTTCAACGCATCACACCTGCACATCGGACACGCCGGTCTTGTTGTAGAGAAGACTTGTTGGGTGCACATGTGGCACAGCGGCCCGTGCCCGCATGGCTGCACTGCTAAGAACGGGGGAGGGATTTTCTCGTAGCACACCATGCATTCGGGTTCGAGCTCAGCACTAGCCTTCTCCACGGAACCACAGCCAGCAGGTGGGACGTTGCATCAAGTGGAAAGATGTCTGCGTCTAGAAACCTGTCACGCTGAATTGCGCATGATTGCAATTGCAGCTACACATGACAAGCTTCAGGACCGCTTTCTTTTAGTCTTAGTTTCTGATGCCTAACTTGCATATACGATGAATTGCGTTTTTGCATATTAAGGGAAGCTGCCCGACGTGATTCGCTGCTCCTGCGTTTTTTCAGGAATGGAATCAATGCAAGACACGCATTAACATTTTACAAGTTCCACCTTTCCAGACCCAGACAGATTTGCAGTCGATACGTTGACTTGAACGCCCATTCGCGCACAGAGATCCACGCAGCGGTCCGCGAACGTGGGAAACTCGGTAAGCCCTCGGGCTTGGTCACGCAATGCGTCTGCGAGGCGGATGTCCATCATGTCCTTCTGCCGACGGCGGGCGCAGCGACCAATGCAGTCCGCGATTGCAGTGCGGCCCAGTTGGCGGGCAGTCACCTCGGGCTGACCGAGCAAGAACATATTCGCAACTTGCTCCGCGTGGATAACTTCCTTTTCGCGCGACTCGACAGTGTGGCTCTCGAGATTGGCCTCGTAGCAGGAGAGTAGGTCTTCCACAATGCCAGCGCTGGCTTCCGCGTCCCTGGTTATGACTGCAGCCGAGAGTGCGGTTTCGCCCACCGCATTCGTCTCGTGGAACTGAATCTCCTTGTCTCGTGGCCGTGGATTTATTAAATTGCCCGAATCACTCCAGCGGCACACCGTTCCGGAAGTGAGGCTCTTCACTGTTGCCGCTGCGCGCGGGAGTCCGCAGGACGCCGCGTACGGCACCAGCGTATGAACCGGCTCGCTGCTTATCGTGTTCAACAGTATCTTTACCACATCGCGCCGCTCACTGAACACGGCGGCAATAAGCGGCGTGAAACGTTCGGGCCCGTCCTTCGCGTTCAGGTCAATTAAGTGCCGATAAGTTCTTGCGTCAACATCTTCCCCACGTGGGCTGCTGGTGCTGGGCGAGAGTGGTTGTAGGTCAGCCGCCATTAAGCGCCGATAAGTTCTTGCGTCAACATCTTCCCCACGTGGGCGGCTGGGCGAGAGTGGTTGTAGGTAAGCCGCCTGCTCAGACAGTATTTGCTCGTAGTGCTCTCGCTGATTCCGTTCGCTTTCGAAGACAACTGGATCGATGTCCAACACCTGGATTAAACGCAGGTAGTCATTTCCCATCATGGAGGTAGACTCATCTTCCCAGTACTTCGCTCGGCATAGACGGTACAAGTCGTCTTGCGCAAGTTGGACATCCATCTCGGATCTCACACACCAAACATCATCGTGTTCGTGCCGCTGTAGAATGTGCAACCGGAGACATTCTCGCGCGTCAATGCCGAACTTTGCTTCTGGCCGAAAGCATCGATTGCAGTCAAGGCAGCCTGCCTCGATTGCAGTGTGGGGTGGAAGCCCCTTCGCGTTGTCACACGTCGACGTTTCTGCAGGAGGGAGTCTCCGCATGCCCTTGCCCTTGGACTGCTTCTGCCCCATCTTACAGCTCAAATTTGGAAAAAAACCTAATACTGTAAGTATGTTCTTCCCAACGGTGATGTTGCAGCCTTTTCTGCATTTCCTCTGCGCATGTGCTCACCCCACAAAACGAACGAAGATATCGAGGACAGCACTTCAAATGCGATGCACGTACCGGCGCCAACTTCTCTCTTTTTTTCTCGTGCTTCTCTACCATGATAATCGCTCGGAAAACCCAGTAGCAGGCGTTTTGCTAGTACACAAACAATTTCGGAGAATAGGCTCGATATCCCACTCGATTTTTTTTCTTGCAGCGATTGGGTACTTTGATTCATACATGAAAGCGACACTCGACACACTCGTCCAGGACTGTGAACATTTTCGCCAAAGCGGTTCACAATCGGTCACGACCACAGACTTCTCTGTACAACAACAAGACTCTTAATGCCTGAGAAGCACATGGACATGAGCATGACACGAGATTGCGACCTGCCTTGCATTACAGGTAGAACTGCACTTCTATTTAGTTACAGTCGGTCGCATAGAGCAATTTGGGAAGAGGACCTAGAAGTGTAGTTAGCGAGGATTTGGATTATAGACAGAATACTAGCACACACTGAAATGGCTGTGCAAGATTTGATTTTCTATTCTGCGGAAACTCCACCTGGTGACGCAGTAGATGGTTTTTTTTTTCCCTCTTCACCCCGCACAATCGATGCACGGCGCCATGGCGACTATGTTGCTGTTGCCTCGCAAAGGCAGACTTCTCGGAAAAGTTCCGCGATTGGGTTTTGTTGCTCTTCTCCGGCAAAGAACAAGGTAACAGGCGTTCTAGGCGTGACCGGGGCGGAGCACGTCCGGCCGGTCGGACAAATTGTCGTGACAGTTCAGAACTAGGTGAGTCGGTGGCGTAATCTTGTCGCAGGTCTTGTAGCAGTGCGAGTTGCAGTACCTGTAGCCGCAGCCGCTCAATACTTGTTACCAGCAATTGTCAGTATTTTTGCCTTCCCACTGCTACAGGTGGAAAAGATGAAGAGCAACATGTTCTCGGGTACAAATGCCGCACCAAGTCGTGCTGTACCGAACCACTTTATTCTTGGTCCCGCATGTACACTTTCAAAAACCCGGTGATGTTACCTCTACAGACCGGACACCGTTTCTGGAAGTCATCGATCATGAAGTAGTCGATCATCAAGTAGTCGGCGCAACTCTCGCAGAATGGCGCGTGTCCGCACGGATTGACTGCGAAAATCGGAGGACGACATGGTTCGTAACACACGTGGCACTCGGGCTCGCTTTTTGCGCGCTGCAGCTCCACTTGGACCCCAATTTGCGCACAGAGATCCACGCAACGGCCCGCAACCGAAGAAATATCGGACTCCATTCCGGCTTGGGGGTCGCCCAAACTGCCTCCCACGCGACTGTCCCTCTGCCGCCGGCGGATGAAGTGAGCCACGTAGGCTGCTATCGCATTCCGGCCGAGCATGCGGACGGTCTCTGCTGGATTGTCGCCCAATAACATCTTAGCAACCTGCTCCACGTGGATCGCTTCTTCCTCGGGCGCCTCAGCAGTACGTGCGTCGAGATTGGCCTCGTAACACTCGAGATATGGATTGCAAATATATCTGGGTCTGGAAATTTGTAATGCTTGTGCGAAGCCAAACTGGCTGTCGAGTTTGTTTGTATAATGCATCTTGCGCAAGAGCAAGATGACCTTCGCTTGTTTGTACTTATCGCAAGAACGCGATTTCTCTCTCGGAATACGCACATTCACGGAGCAAACAAACTTTGTTATGCTTGCCTGCGAAGTGTGGGTATGCTGTTGCATTGGCCTTGGCGATCATCCGAGATTTAGCATTACAACTTCCCAGATCCGGACATCTTTGCAGTGGATACGAGCAGGTCCTTCACGATGTCACCACTAGAGTCCGAATCTGTGTTTCGTACAGCAGCCGAGAGTGCGGTTTCGCCCGTCCCACTCGTCTCGTCGAACTGAATCTCTTTGTCGTGCGGTCTGTGTCCACGACTTGTTAATTTGCCCGACTCATGCCATCTACGCAGCGTTCCTGAAGTGAGGTTTTTCACTGCTGCCGCTGCGTGCGGGAGTCCGCAGGATGTGGCGTAAGCCAGCATTGTGTGGACCGGCTCGCTCTTGATGGTGTTGAGGAGCAACTGCACCACTTCACGCCGCCCGCTGAGCACGGCTGCAACAAGCGGCGTCACTTGCTTGGGCCCGTGTTTGGCATTCAGGTTTACAATTTTTCGCAACCCCCAGGGCTTTTCGCCGGGTCCTAGGGGACGCACAAAAAACTTTTCAGCAGAAAATTCTTTCCTGCGTTTCTCCATGAGCGAATTTCGTCTCTCTGCCAACATCAGGCAAATCGAATTCGCCGAAGGCGGGTTGCTGGTGTTGCTGTTGCTGGAGCGATTAATGTCCTGGAGCGAACCGCTGGGTGGGTCACGCACGCCTTCTCCGGAACGTGTTTGTTTGAAGAGTTTGTTCCACGGACGGACTGGAGCGAGCGCCTCACTGTCAAGCTGGGCTAGATGAGCGGAGCTGGAGTGCGCGCTCGATGAATGGCGGATACGGAAACGCAGGTCTTCCGCTTGCTCAGAAAGTATTTGTTTGTAATGCTGGCGGCGATTTTGCTCGTTTTCGAAGACGACCGGATCCAAATCGAGGAGCTCGATCAGGCGCAGGTAATCGGTTCCAGAGGACTCGACTGTTCCGTCACCCGCACACAGCTCATACAATTCTCGTTCGAGTTGTCGTTCTGCGGAAACTCCAACGTAGTTTTCCATGCATTTGAAGACGCGACTCCAGCTAATGCCGCGCTCCGAGTTGTCGCTTTCAGAGTCGGTTACGAGAGCGCTGCTGCTGCGGGTGGGCGGGGCGAAGGTGCAGGAGCCGGCGGCTCGTCCTCTCGTCGGACGAGTGTAGCCCGGGAATAGGCCCAAGGGCGGTGGCTTCTTACCGTCAGAGGTGATGTCATGCCGTTGCAGCATGTGCAATTCGAGGCATTTACGCGCGTCGACGCGAAAGAACGCTTCGGGCCGAAAGCACCGGCTGCACTGCGGACAAGTAGCCTGATCCGACTCGTACGCGACTGGCCGGTAGCACTGCATCCCGGGTCGACGCCTTAATAGTCCTCCGCCCGCGGGTGCACTGGAGGCGTCCGTCGGCGACGGTTCCGGAGGCTGCCTGCGAAGCCCCTTCGACTGCCTTTGCCCCATATTGAAACACAAAAATCGCTTGCCTTTATGTTTATTCTACCGACAAAATTATTATTTTACAGTTGTTCGTTAGTGCTCGCAATTGGCAATTTTTTTTTTTTCAGCAACTGCAACGAAAAATAACAAATACAAAAACTGTACGACGAGAGACACGAATTAAGGTGGGGTTTTTATTCGGTCGACTTATCTAGTAATCGGGATTCCAAAAAAAACCTGTCCTTGCGTATTCATTCATGATGTGCTCGAAATCAAATTGGAAATCGGAAATAAATTTACGCATTTTTTCAACTCTCGATGTCGGCGAGCGAAACGAAAAGGACAACGACATGATGTTCGATAAGTGTCAAGATTTGGGGAAATTGCACTCAAGCAAAAAAACACACAGACACGAAAACATGGCACGAGTGCCACGACCAATTTTACCTAGTTTGAATGAATGGATGAGAAAGAACCGACCGAACTTTGAATTTTGCAGCCTTTTTTGTTTTTGTTTTGGGTGGATTTCAATTTCGCGGTAAAATGAAGGTTAAACTCAACAAAAAACAATAAACAGACCGTAGATTGTCGGTGTACGCGAAGCTTGTGGCAACACAAAAAGCAGCACCTGCTTTTCAGTGTCGTTGCTGCGTGGTGCGATCCCTCTCAGAAGCAAAAGTCAAATTCTGCCCTCGCTCTATAAAATGTATGTCATGAAGCACGAGCGAAATGTGGTGCGCCCCGGCTGCAGCAACTATCTTGTTTTTCTTTGTCGTTCCCCCCATCGAACGACGCGACTAGCACGTTTTCCGCTAAATGTGCAGACACAACGAGGGCAACTCGAACTCTCGAACAACAAAAAGTAGGGCCGACCCCCACGATTGATCATTCCATCGATCGAATGAAGCGACTACTCACAGAAACAGCGTAAAGAAAGTAGAGATGGATTGAAATCCGTTATGTGAAGTTCTATTTCATGAAAACAACTTTCGTCTTGGTGCAACGGCACGACAACGACGATTATTTTTTTACGCCGCGTTCATGAAAGACCAAAATAAAAATTATTCAATTCGTCTTGCAGGGGATTGTATCTAATCACAAGTTGTCGTACTTCTACTTGCACATCCACATGTACATGATGCATATGTTTACAAAATCTAATTAAATTTTCGCGTGAAATCTGAAATCTGAAGTGCCTTTATCAAGCACTTCAACAATCACCAAGCAGCCGATCCCGTATCCCTTGCACGGTGGCTCGGTACTCCGGCACGGCTGACGGCTATCGACTGCAAATATGTCATCTGGGTCGTCTGGAATTGGTAGATCGGGAGAGTTTATTTCTGATGTCAGGCAAATTGTACAATGACCCGGAATGGTGGTCTCGGTGATGCATGCTCTAGCATTAGCATTAGCATTAGCATTACAGGATTTGGATTTGCGAAGATCTTGCATGAGGATAAATGCTTTCTCCGGACAGCAAATATTTATCAGAGCGCCCAGGACCAAAGAGCATATTTGCAATGCATAACAGCATGTCCCCTGCTATAGTCCCGGTTTCAAAATCCACGTCGTGGCGCCCTTTTAGCGTTTCTACGTCTATTTGCAGCAGGTTCCCTAGCGACCGGAAGGCCGCTTCCTCCGTCCGCGGTGCTGCGCTTGTTCGTTTGTCCTCTGCCCCCTCGAGAAAATGCGTAAACCAGGAATCCACATTCTCCTCCTGCGCAGCGTGCTGTGTGGGGGTCCCGAAAAGCGGGCTTTCCTCTTCCGTGTGCATCACGTAGGCGGAACGGTCGAGGAGGTAGATCCGCTATCCTGTGTAAATAAAGCGCCCCCGCGACCCCAAAGCCAGCACGATGTGATAATTCTATATCTGCTAGGTAAGTCCACAAGTTTATTTGCGATTGGCGCATGACGGATTGATGAGATGCAGATTTTCAGATTTGCATGACAAAACTCTGGGGTCGTGGGGGGCGTTTTTACTTCTCTGGATCATATCCGCAAAATGCACATCCCCACCGCAAAGCTGTCCGTTTGTCGTGGGTAATAGTGCGCCCTGAGCACAAGTTCCGGAGCACAGTACGTGGCGCGCCCGCACCCTGCGTCCTGCGAACACGAGAAGAGCCGGTCTTGAGGCAGTGTCGTTGTAGTAGTATGCCCCCCTTGGTCTTCTACTTCCTGGTGCTCCTCCTGACCCTCAGAACTACTACAAGGAGAAAAATTATTTTCGTCGTCCGCAGGGTTCGTGTCGCAGAACCCTAGCCGCCCCTCCGCCCCCTCCGGTCGTTCGGCTCTGGAAGATGAACCGCTGCTGCATTCCGAAGATGTTGCGGCAACACAGGGAAGCTGAGTCCTCGTCGGAAATAAATTGCTCTCGTCACGACAAGAACTTGTGGCAGCTGCCAGGTCGTGATTGCAGCGGCAATTTAATAAGACCGCAGGCGAGTTCTCTACCAATGAGCTGAAGTTATATGGTGGCGCGGGAGCGGGCTGGAGTTCGAAGCAGCCCGGAGTCATTTTCTGCTGCAAAAATGCGTCCTCGGCTGGTTCTCGTGGCGGAGCTCCCGTGGCCGAGGCGGCCTGGAGTTGTCCTGTCAAGCCGACACAATTATCGTCCTGCTTTTCCGGTGCTGGTCCTCGCGCTTTTTGGCAGCATTTGCGTATCCAGTGCAACAGCGAAGATGCTGCGGCGTGCGCCGCGGTGGTACCACTACCAGCACAGCGCAGAAATTGTAAGCAGCTCTTGCTTCTTGACGGTGTTCTAGACTTGATGTTCTCACGCGCCCACGCGTGCGCCGCTGCAGTTGTACTAGAGGTCGAATTGTGCAGCATGTTGTGGTCCATGTCCAGCACACCGAATTCTTCGCTGCTGCTTGACGCGTCTACTTCACGAGGCCGTGCGGGATGTAGTAGTTCTTGGGACGTGTAGTTGTAGACAGTTTGATTGGAACCAACTGCCTGCTCGTCTCTGCCTGCTGCTTCTTGCTCGTACTCTTTTTTTCCTCGTCCAGTTGTTGTAGCAATTTTTTCACGCATCAGGAACGATGGCTCAGTAGAACCAAGTTGATACTTATTTGTCTCCGTGTGTTTAGCGGAAGTACTAGCTGAGCGGCCTTGTTTACGTTCGACATTCTCCATTGCCGGGTCGTCCTCTTGGTGCCCTAGTACAACTTCTTGCGCACCAGCACTTCTGCCAGGTCGCAAGGGCGTCGGCTTGCCCTGTCGGACAGCCACCCTCCTTTGCCGCTTTAACGGCCGTTCCAGTGAGGAAGTGAAAGAGGGCGTCGTCGAAAGCAGCGTCTGCCCCGGCGTCGCGGTGCTTGTTTTTGAATGATGCTTTCCGTAGTTATTTTTACCCGCTGCTGCAGTTTCCGCACGACCTAGAGAAGCACGAAAGCGTTCCAAAAATGCAGCAGGAGCTGCGGGCTTTTCACGGCTTTCCCGCGGCCCCAGCTCTACTTCCATCTTGGTCTGCTCGGTCTTGGGTTCCTCGCGTAGCGCGCAAGCTCGCCCGAAATCCGCGATGCGCACGTCGTCGTTCAGCAGCAGCACGTTCTCCAAGCTCAGGTCGCGATGCCCGACTCCCCGGTCATGCAGATACGCCACGCCGCGGCAAAGTTGCCTCACCCACTGTCGACGCAGAAACGCCCGCACGTGGTGTGGGGTGCTGGTTGGTGAAGTTGTTGTATATGCCTCGTCATGACAACTTCTTCCGTCATCTGGTGCACCACCCCTACAACTCGCTTTAATATTCGCGTCCTTCCTGTCTTCGCAGAACCACTGACGCAGACGGCTGTGCAGATCCTCCTGGCACAGCTCGGTGACGACGTAGACCGAGCGGGGACAGGTGTTCGTGCAAAAGCAGGCCAGCATCTTCAGAACAAAATTGTTGTTCCTGCCAGCTTCATCCTCCGTGCTGTCCTCCGTCGTGTAGTCACTCTCACTACCCTCCTCTTCGCTGGCCGTGGCGGTGGTCCTCGTGTAATGTGCACGAATTGTAGGCGGTGCCGCTTTATTCATTTTCCTCGTATTCTTGATGCGCGATGAACGAAGTCCGGCGCCACGATTTTTACCACCGCCTCTTCTACTTAAGCGTAGCAAAGCGTTTACCTCGTTTTCCGCTGAGTCTGCTGGCGCTGCTGGGACGCCGCTTCTGCTGGGGCGTGTCACCCCTGATATCGCGAACGTGCCACCTACTCGTTCCCGCGAAGAAATGATTGCTCCACTCCCGTTTTTCGGCGCCACGTAACACTTACCGACGACCAGAAACGGCAGAAGAGAAGATGAGTCCAGCTCTTCACCATGTTGAACTCCCTCGCCATGCACATGCTCCGATACTAGTGGAGCAGATTTTTTCCGAAGATTTGCTAGTTCCCAGACCGCCACCGTGGTGCCCGACGCCTCGTCAAGCGCGATGGGCCAGAGAGACTTCTTTGGTCGCGGAGAGGTGCAGGCTGGTGAAGGTATTTGTGTTTCATCGCAGACAAATAACTCGTTCTCGGAAAAATTATCGCTCGCAAATTCATCGTCCGTTCCTTCTGCGCAGGCGCACAAAAACGAAGAAGCGCCAGGGGCGTGCGTCGGGGTCGCCGCGCTAGAAGGAGAAGGACTTGTTTTATTCCGCCCATGACGAGCTTGTCGCAGCATCGTCGGGGTCTCGGTTTCTTCTCTAGTTAATCTTGAAGACGAGGACCTGGGTCGTTGTACTCGTCCTACTTCTTGTGGACAAGTGGTTCTTTCGTCTTTCAAGAGTTTTGAGGCCTTCGGTAAGCGGTCGAGGAATTCGCGTCCTTTCTCACCGTCCGGAAACAGGACACGGCAAACCTCATCTTTCGCGGGAATCCGGAGGCTCCGGTCCTCCGTGGTACTGTTTTTCCGGGCCCGCACGCCGGGGAGCGACAGCTCCGGTTTCGACGCCCCCGCCGGAGACATCATGCTCACGCAGGTGCTCGTGCGACTCACGCTGACCATGGGGCCCCCCGCCCTGGCGTTGTAGTTCTGGTCCTCTGGCTCGAGTCTGCTGCCGCCTTTGGACAAGGGTGGAAAGTCTTTTAAGGCTTTCGACGTCCTACTGGTGGCGGGAATAGTATCAATGCGTGCTGTAACCGGAGAGTCTGGAGCTTCGTCAAATTCCTCAGCAGGAGATAACTCATCTGCAAATCTGCCGGTGCCGGACTCCATTTCCGTCTCGTCCGTACTTTGTTCCAGAACGCCGAAAAGTTCACTTGAGGGCCGCCACCAAACTGCCCCCCTCTTCTCCTCAACCAGAAGGGAGAGAAAAAGCTGCACAGTCGTGTGTTTCATGGTACGAAAAATGGATGCAAGACGAGAACATGGAGGGAAAAGCGATGCACGGTATAACAACGTAAATTTGAATGTCTACCAATAGTGACAGCTGCACAAAAATCGAAATTTCTACCTGCACGATCCAACTGCTAGTATTAGTTGATGCACCAAAGCAATATGTTTCTGTTCTTTGATCTGTTTGTTTCGCCGGACACAAGGGCATGAGCAGCATGAGTAAAGATTCAACTTTCTATCTTGATAGATGAAACAAGTACGCTGCCTGAAGATCCTGGTGATGCCGCCTTGTTCGATGAAATCGGCGCTACTTCTTCGCACGGAGACCCCGGTGGAATAGAGAGAAAAATGCTTCTAGTTCTACCTGCAGCTTCTTTCGCTATAACTCCTATTGCTGAGCAGGGGCAGTTAAAATTTTGCAACAGGGAGGAAAATCGCCCACGCCGAAAAGTTTTTCACACTTTTCAAACTTTCTAAAGCTGTCGCGATTTGCGAAATCGCCCACCGCCCAACGGCCAACGGCAACCGGCCAAATCGCAAACGGCCAACGGCCAAATC